GTGCTAGTCTCGACTTTACGCCGGGGTAGCGCTACGACTGGGCGTACGACCTTTGATGAAACGGGCCCCAGGGCTGCGTTTCACAAAACTATCGTAAGATTTGTCCTAAGATACATTTTACGATCATCTTAAGATCTGACTAATGACAATCATAAGATTTGTCATTGCCGTTTCACAAAACTATCTTAAGTATAAGAAATCTTAAGACAAGTTTTAAGACAAATTCCATTCTTCAATTTCACAGGGATTTTTTTAAAATATGTTTTCACGAAGTCTTTCATTAATTTTCTTTGAAATATTGAAATAATGTATGTCTCATATAGTTTACAACATATTATAGCATCAACTCTATTTAAGCGTGATTACTTTTAATTAGAACTACTAGTGTTTCTGAAACTTAACAAATAAGTACGATTTTAACAATGACTCCTTTTGAGACACAAAATCTTGTTCAAAGTTCGTTAATAAAATTAATTGGATGCACGTGTTCTTAAAACGCTTCAACTACTGCAACAATATATCGGACGATGCTAACAGATGAAGAAGAGAAAAAAAAGAAAAAATTTCGATCAATTTTATGGTTTCAATACTATAATAAAAAGGCATAAAGAAAGCATTACATACAACATCAAATATTACAGCATATTGAATTTTCATACACATTCCTATGGAATAATGATGATACCTCAGGATTTAAACAATTTTATTTTCATCTAATTTGTACGACTGAATAAAATGTTTACGTTGAAATTAAATCACCACAATAAGAGAAATACAATAACCATTTATATATTGTAACGAAATAAATTAAAGTAAAATCCATGGACTAATCAAATCCATTAAATGTATATGATCCAAGAAGCATTTGTTTTTTTTTTGGGGGGGGTGCAATATCAGATGGGAGGGGGTACAACCAAAGAAAATTTTTTGTCTTGAAATGAATAAAGAGGAAAACACAAAGTACATACATTTTAGTTTTTCTATCTGAAATTTAATTAAATACAGAAAATGATCATTAGATATTGGTTCAATATACCTTAAATCATGTACAAATTGTTAATTCAAATTATCTTTTAATATTATGAATTTTGGATCAATTTTTCTTCAGTTTTAAAAATGTTAGTTTACATTAAATAAAATTACATTTATTTTTAGCTCAATAGAAAAGGAAAATCGGTAGTTTTTGTAGTTGATGCTGTCTTGGTTGCTTTGTTGGATAAAGTTCTAAGAATCTGTTAGCTTTCCATGCTTTAATGCGTCTCTTTCAATTTGTACGCCCCGTCACTGTTGTAGCGTCTATTAATAAATAATAACAAGCATACAAATCCGTATAAACAAAAAATCTTACAAAACAGCTAGAACCTATACTCACCTGTTTTTTTCAAGAAATGAAGGATTATAAATTTTGCGTAAAACGCATTGTTAATTAGAAAAAAAACACAGGTGCATTTAATTTTAAATTGAAAAAAAAAGATCCTCTAGGTGTAGATTTTCGTTATAGTTCAAGATTAAGTGCTAGATTTAAGATTTAAGAGAAGCATGGTTTGGTTTTTTAAAGTCCTGCGTTATCATTACAGAACAGGGCTGCGTTTCACAAACTATCGTAAGATTTGTCCTAAGATACATTTACGATCATCTTAAGATCTGACTTATGACAATTACAAGATTTGTCATTGCCATTTCACAAAACTATCTTAAAATAAGAAATCTTAAGACAAGTCTTAAGACAAATTCCATTCTTCAATTTCACAGGGATTTTTTTAAAATATGTTTTCACGAAGTCTTTCATTAATTTTCTTTGAAATATTGAAATAATGTATGTCTCATATACATGTAGTTTACAACATATATTATAGCATCAACTTTATTTAAGCGTGATTACTTTTAATTAGAAAGTAGTGTATCTGAAACTTTACAAATAAGTACGATTTTAACAATGACTTCTTTTGAGACACGAAATCTTGTTCAAAGTTAGTTAATAAAATTAATTGGATGCACGTGTTCTTAAAACGCTTCAACTACTGCAACAATATATCGGACAATGCTAACAGATGAAGAAGAGAAAAAAAAAGAAAAAATTCCGATCAATTTTATGGTTTCAATACTATAATAAAAAGGCAAAAAGAAAGCATTACATACAACATCAAATATTACAGCATATTGAATTTTCATAAACATTCCTGTGGAATAATGATGATAACTCAGGAATTAAACAATTTTATTTTCATCTAATTTGTACGACTGAATAAAATGTTTACGTTGAAATTAAATCACCACAATAAGAGAAATACAATAACCATTTATATATTGTAACGAAATAAATTAAAGTAAAATCCATGGACTAATCAAATCCATATGATCCAAGAAGCATTTGGGGTTTTTTTGGGGGGGTGCAATTTCAGATGGGAGGGGTACAACCAAAGAAAATTTTTTGTCTTGAAATGAATAAAGAGGAAAACACAAAGTATGTACATTTTAGTTTTTCTATCTGAAATTTAATATAATTAAATACAGAAAATAATCATTAGATATTGGTTCAATATACCTTAAATCATGTACAAATTGTTAATTCACATTATCTTTTTATATTATGAATTTTGGATCAATTTTTCTTCAGTTTTTAAAATGTTAGTTTACATTAAATAAAATTACATTTATTTTTAGCTCAATAGAAAAGGAAAATCGGTAGTTTTTGTAGTTGATGCTGTCTTGGTTGCTTTGTTGGATGAAGTTCTAAGAATCTGTTAGCTTAATGCGTCTCTTTCAATTTGTATGGCCCGTCACTGTTGTAGCGTCTTTAAAGTAGAATTTGAGCTCCCTTTTCACTCTGCCTGTGACATTTTTCAAACTCATTCAAGTCCATTTTTTATGGTTATTCTAAAAGTTGTTTCTTTTTTTTTTAATTTATTAAAAAATATTCTCAAATCCTCATTGCTGAACTCCTCAAATATATCAGAATCAATCTCCTTTATATCAAAAGATAGCATGAATATTCAACCATCCACCTTATCTGTTAAGAAATCAAGAGAGATCAAGTCAAGATCTACCCCCCGTTATAAAAATACTAGTATTTGAATACAATATTGAGATAACGAGCATTTATCAAGATTAAAAGGACATTGTAACAATGCAAATAAAGAGCAGAGCAAACATGGACCTTTAAAAACTAAACGCGAGGGATCATAAGCTATGGAGGAGTAAGCGTTCCCTGGCGACTGGTCACAACCACCACATGTGGTCACTTTCAAAATCCAGCAGACGGAAGAATCCGTAGAAAAATCAGTGTTTTATTAAAGAATTACCTAAGAATTAGTATTAAAAATGTCAGACAGCATTACTGATATCTTGTATTAATTAACTGAATATGTCATTGTGTCTACTATATTACTTACGAAATGATTACAATTTTTTACCTTTGATTTTATTACGACAAAAATTGTCTCTTTGTCGGAAAAGGTCAAGTGTCGGCAATGGTATACAACTGGGTCCACCACTTATGTCACAAGTGACCTACGTGTACATATTGATGTCATTTTCACATTTTGACGTCAAAATCATTCCATTTCGTTCCAATTATATATTCTATTTATGTGTATGACTACACGTGTGCCAAATTTCATTCTGATCTGATTTGTGGTTTTGTTAATATAATTCGCGAACTTTTTGATGACCCCTCGTAAATAAGTATTGGTTTAGTTGTATACAAAAAAAATGATGTTTCATTTTCCCTACTATAAAGCAAAACCTCGTTGAATTGTGTAATAGCTAATTGATAAATGTTTACTGATACAGTTTTCAAGATGTATTTAAGGAGGCTCATTACACCACTTTTTGATGACGTACTACACAAAAAAGTAAACCTGTTTCGACCGATTTCCTCTGGGGACGAATTTACAACTACCTCTATAACATGACCCTGACCTTTAAAACGTTTTAAAAATAGACGAAACATGCGGTGTTGTAAACAGTAAGAACAAAGTAACGGATTCCTTATGCATAAACTAAGAAGGATTGCTTTTAAGCAGAAACAAAAGAAAACAACATCCAAATCTTCGCCAAACAAGTAATGTACAATTTCATAGTAAATCAGTGAGGCGAGCTCTATTAATCTATGACAAGTTTGTATGGAGGGAATTCGAGTTTAAAATCTACATCCTTGAAGAAATTAAAATGTTATTTACTTGCACTATTTACTGTGTTGTTATTGATTTATATATTCATTATTTGTTTTAATGATGTAAATATATACTCTGGCAATTTAAAGCTTTTTTCTGAATTTTAGATGCAATGTTAAACGCTCCTTAGTGTTTTGAGTCTTGGGTAATTAAGAAAGATAACTCTTGAAAGAGGACTTTTTATACCAAATATTTTTTAAATTGGAATTTTTATTTCGTTTAAACATTCTTCATTCAATTTGTCACATGAAATTCATTAAAATACATTCCTTGTCCCTTCAGAACTCATTTTCTTAATATTTTATGCACAGATTAAAAAGATAATGACATTAGTTGCTTTTTAGGAGAAAACTATTTTTTCTAATAAAAATAATATTAGGTATTTTAGGTATTTTGAGGTATTTTCATTGTGTGTACTTGTCTAAAGAGGATGTCCATCATTTGGCACTGAAAGTTCTGAAATTCTGGTAATAATAAACTTGAAATAAAACATTTTACTACAATTACACAAAAGCCAAAAAATTCTCTAAAAAATATTTAATAACAATACCTCCATTTGGATATTTGATATCTACATTATAAGTGGTGCTGTAATGAAATCTAAAATAAACTGTAGATGTAATGAGCCACCTTAAATTATTTTTTGTTATGATGCCACATCTTCATTTTGGACTTTTTAAATTACATATAAATGAATGTCCATTCAGACGTATAACTATCTTCTGTAGCATTTAGATTTGATTTTCTTGCAAGCAGGCTATTTTTTTTTAATGTAAATAAGTATGTACTATAAAAGCATAATTTTAGCAACTTCTTTGGAAAATGGTTCAATGGAATGAAATATGGAATAAAAAACAGTAATCAAGCTGTAAAAGACATTTAAACAATGCAAATCAAACGAAGAACAAACAAGGACCTCTAAAACATCTGAAATGGATAGATACCAAGGATGAGTGACCATTCCCTGTGGAGCGGTCACACCCGCCATCTGCTTATTGTCATGGTTTGCAAAAGGGTTAATCAAAATTCGAAAAATGACGACTGTTCAATAGATATTGTTGCTTCATGAACTTGTTTGTCAATAACTTTCCTTTTTTAAAAAATCCTTTGTTCGTGTTATTGTGGATTGAATCTACGTCGAGATTTAAATGTCACCATTTTATTTTAATTTGCATTGAATATATTTCGATTTTTTTTTTCGATGTTAGTTTTATTCCTTCATGATCAGGTTTTATTAAAGTACTTCCGATAACTGCAGATTCAGAAAAAAGTAAGGGACAACCCATATCATTGGATTGGGTAGTTCAAATGCTGCTCCGTTCACGATTTGAAAGTAACTCATTGTAGTGTACCTATATGAAAGTATAATTCTTAAATTTGTACGATTGTAAACCTTAAAATATTTTCCATAAAATTTTAATCATTAAAAGCAATGCAAGTAAGATCACTTATAATTATAAATAATAATTGAAATTGCTTTATATTTCAGGAATGTTTTTTACGATTTGTTGTTAGTTAATTTTATGTGAATCACACAGACTTGTCACAGTAGGCATATTTCATGAAGCACGCTAGCGCTTCATGAGAATACGCCTACCTGCAAGTCTGTGTGATTCACATACCAATAATTCACAATCAATTTAAAAACTTCTTTACACATGTATTTACATTTTCAATGTCTAAAAGCATAAAAAATATACTCAATATTTGAATTTCTCGTTGTCCTATATATTGCTTTACTTTGACTATAATTCACACACCAATAATTCAAATCAATTCACCTTGCAATTAAAAAAAATATTCATTATATACAGGTACATTTTTTGTTAAATTGACTATTTACCTTATATAAACAATGGTTGTGGGGCGTTTTAAAACATAACATTCGGCATCTGAAAAATAATATTGGAGCTGTAATAAAATACATGATTTAGCGAATTTATGTACTGTTTAGACGTATATGATTTTTTAAAATGATTTACATAAATATTTTACATTGTATGACTACGGAAATATAATAAAGTTAAGGGTCAATGCAAATTCATTAAATTTGAATTTTAGATTTTTAAAGCTCGTTGAGTTGAAAATTAAAGCTGCTAAGCTTCAATAGTGAAGTTTTACATTTATAGGCATCTGTAGACCAATAATCACTGTGACAAGAGGAGCAATGTTTTGCGTTAAATGAATCCTGCACTCTTCCCCCTTCATAGTTGTACTCGGCACAATTACCTTAAAAGAAAAAAATATCCATCAGAATTAGCCTTATATACTTGTATATCATTGACTAAATAAAACGAAATCAACTGAAGTTGCATATATTGTCAATTATGTCGGTATCATCGCAACGTTCATCAGTATTCCTAGTGGCTTTGAAAGTTTTGAGCAATGCTTGATTTATAGCATTATTTACACCTACCGTAAATGTAGCATCACAAAATATCTAGACATAAAAGTTGTCGTAATAAATATTAGTAATTAAACCCAGTTTTATATGTACATGTATTAGGATTAATTGAAAAGATGAACAAAAATGGTGGAACATCAGGAACTGATAACGCAATTCTTCTGCCGATGAGTCGTGTTGTTAGACATCACTAAAGTGTGTTCTTGAGATATTGAACAGAATTAAAGAACAATGTAGACTTTTGGAGGTACACAGAAAATTAGGAAAAAGGCAAACCAAAGTCACTGTGAGTAGTTTAAAACATATGTTAGGTCCATCAGATTTATTTTTACAGAAGTAACATACATTGTACCTTCTGCGATAAAATAATTTTGAGATCCATGGTTCAGAAACTTTTTTTTAATTTAAGCCATTTAAATGCGCATTTTTTTCTTCTCTTCTTTTTTCCTTAGTACCAAGTGGACTTGTAAATATGCATTTATTTAAGGGTATAAATTCTGCATAGCCATTTTTGGGTCGTAATACTAGTATCAACTGTCGTCAAGCAGTGTTGCTTGTGACTAAATTCTTTCACAAAGGAAGACATGCTATAGATTTTGAGAGTGAATTGGTGTGTTTAAACATTTTTTCCCCATACAACTCAGATTCTTTAAAAGATCAATTAATATGGAAGTGAGATATTACATAAATTGTCCCTTTTATGGGTAATATTTGCTATGACATCCGGAAGAAAACTAAATTGAAGTGTGACAATTGTTCCTCTCCCGGTGGCAAATTTAATCGTTTTTCTAATATGATGCATTATTTTTATTATTAATAATATTGAATATCTCACTGATACAAGATGGCATCAAAACATACAGTTTTCAAATTGCTTCTTCCTTTTTTAAAGCAATAAATCTTCTAAAAATATTCTTATCCTCTTTGGCATTTGCATGATAATCAGTCAGAAAGTCATTTCAAGTCTCGCTATTACTTCATCCACGATCAGTGTTCGTCCGTCGTTGTTGTATTCTCAGTCGGTCTTTAATATACGTATCAGACGCAGACTTTTGAATAAATGAAGTTAATTCTCATTCTTTCAAACCCACACCTGACTTTTCAATGAAAATAACATGCATATGATATTACCGAACCGGTTGTGCTTCCCTTTGCTACGTGTGTTGCTTATGCTGAGAGTAACAGAATAAAACAATTTTAATTATCAGAATTTAGCAAATAATATAAATAAACGTATATGAAAACTTATAAATCATATAAATGTTAATCTATTTTGTATTGAATTATAATACCGCCATAATGTTTTTTTTCTGGCAATCGATTAATATACGGGCTTGAGTTATTCGAATACATATAAAGTCATAGACGGATTGTCTGTAATTGTTTATTTATTTTTACAGTGTTAAATGTATATATCTACATTAAAAAATATTCATTTTTTAAACAGCTAATGCTTGAACATTAAAGTTATTAAATTGATACAGTGTATTAATGTTATACATAATGTTAAGGAATGCCTTTTAATCTGTAAATATTCTGCATAAAAATGAGTAGTACTCACCATAGCCTATAACTGTTTGAGGTGCACACACCTCGATGGTACTGTTTTGCCAAGGATTATTTAAACAGTGGTATAAAAGATCTTGCGAGCACTTATGTGAGACAGAAGAACAGTTTTTCTTCAATGCTTCTGCATCCCACATTGTTTTATTGTCTGGACATGATGCCACTTTTTTCATTGTAGCGCGAGAGGCTTCACAAAATTCTTCATCGTAACTTGCACAACATTTCTGAAGAATGAAAATTATATGAAATATAGTCATGTATCCTTTAAAACAATTTTCATAAAATATATGTCGAGGAGAATGCTCTAGTTAGCCTGATATATACGAAAACAAAACACCTATAATCGCTGGTTTAGAGCTTTTTTCCCCTTTGTTACAGTTGTAATAGTTTTTTTACATATATCCTCCAATCCATAGGTTCTATTCATAATGATAATATGGTGATTTCACGCAGTTGTTTGTTTCTTAGAACTTAATCAGGGCAGAATAAAAATAAAGGATCTGCCTGCATATAACGATTTTCTCACAACAGTACCTTATAAAGATTCTTTGTGCTTCTTTTGCCGCGTCAAAGCTAAAACGTAAACATAGGTACATGTAGTGAAAAGCTGTTCCTCAGCTAAACGCTCGGCATTGAAAGTAAAAGTCGCAGGACTTTTGGATATGACCTTAAAAACGTAGGTCCCGTGTCAGGGTAGCGTTAGCACAATAAAGAACCCTCAGTGCTCAATGGCCCTGAGTGCCGAGTATAGGTCTGAATTTGAAACCCTTCACCGGCATACGGTAACGTCTTCATATGGGTGAAAAATTCTCGAGAGGGACGTTAAACAATATACAATCAATCAATCAATCAATCTTTTATGTACAGTCCGCTGACAAATCTCTACTGATTATGTAGAATAAATTCAAAATGAAGACCTAATGGCTATCATCTGTACGGGTCTTAAACTCAGGGATCCACGCTCAAAGATCTGTAACATGAAAGCGTACTACTTCTCTACACGTCTATATAAATACTATTTTTTACTATAACTTTAAAAACAACAGTTTTTCTGATATCAGAGATAATTTCATCAAATCGAAAATGTTCACATTTTACTTCGGTTTTTTTTTCATGTTAATCAATAAAATTACTATATTTATTAAAAGTATAATTTCTCTGATTTGACACACAAGCACTCTGAAGATAATATTAAGATGTTGTTGGAGCTTCTCATTTATAATATGTTCAGTTCTACCAACAAATTAAACAGTTGGAAATTGAAAGAGTACTAATTGTGTTCCTTATTGTCAATTTTTTTAATATAATTATTAATCCTTTGAAGTAGAATTTATTTAAAAACGTTTAAATGAGAAAAAAACCACATGTGGCCCTGTACTACACATTCAGTAACATCAGCGACATCTTATCAACTAACAATAATTACTTCATATGTCAACTTGATATATCTTAGTGAACTTAAAATAAGACACACAGTCTTGTTTGATATATGGATGTTTCACTGAGCATAGAGAAAAAGGGCCCCGCAAAGCGGAGTATCCAATAGCAAGGAGCATATCTATAAATTAAAAACAGTATTGACATCGATTCCCAAGCAGAATATGTCTTTTTCGTTTCGTACAGCAATGCATAAATCACTCATCCAACAAGGAGCACATATATGTACAAAATGTATATACATGTACGATGACCTTGCTTATCCCCTGTTGCGTTGGTATAATAAAGTAGAACGCCCCGGCTGGCTTAATAGAGATGAACTCAGCTTTTTCATCGTTATCATTATTTATGCAGTAATATCCAGTTCTCACTGTCAACCGCATGGCGCAGTAATAAGAGAACCTGCTCTAGAGTTGCGAAGTAAGGAGTTGATCCTTACGTAGCAGGTTCGAATCCCATTGTGCGAGGTGGAGACCAGCCCTTCGGAGGTCTCCTGTCAAAGGAAGTGCTGAGACGAAAAAGTGCTGAGTATGGGAACAAAATTTGCAGCTCTCCATCAGTAAGTGGTGGCGTCTAAATATGAGTGAAACATTTTCGAGAATGACGTTAAACAATATACAATCACAATCCAATTCTCACCTGCAAACTTTGTGCTTACATCATCATTTATTTAAAACTCAAGAGCTATTTCCGAAAACGATCTTTTTTGTAACTGAGACAAGTTACTGTCGAAAACACGCAAGTATATGTTACAATGATTTCATAATCAACTTCGTTTATTACTAAGCATTCCGTAGACTCTACGGTCGGTACCTTGAAATGACCTTGATAAACAAATTAATATAACATACTATCAATGTGTCGTATTTTGGCTGACGCGTGTTTGTTTACAATTAATATATACCCTTTGCTTTGACAAGTTTGTGTATGGAATACTAAGTCTACCTTATCTTCCTAGCCAATCTTATAGAAGCACAAGTATCACGGTGTGTGTAACTGAACAACAGGCGATGTTAACTTATCCTAGATACTACACCTACCTCCGGAATTTCCAGGGTCATTTTTATACTATTCTCGCACATATGTTTTTTTTAATATAATGTTTAGATCAATAAATGTTTCCCGTTTTTAAACCATCTGTTTTAAAAATGATACATTCATGATTTGAAATTTATCATTTGCTTCATTATTGAAATGGATACCTTTCATAATAAAAAGAAGCAATTTCATCGATTTTGATAATTCATACTAATCTAAAATAAAAGCCACTTTATGAAGTTAGCTTATGAATATTAAACATGCATATGAATGAAATTTTATTGTTTCTACCATACAGTTTGTCATCCTTGCAAGAAAGAGTTTCTGAGTTCTGAGTCAACTTGTTGACTCAAAACCCTGGCTTGCAAGTTTGACAGTTTGTTTAAAAATATATAAATACACCAAAAATATTATTTGCTGGATTTTGTGTATTCAATTCTCTGTGGTATATGTGTGTGAGAGGGATGATGTGTGTGTGACAGAATTATTTTTAAAATGCAATTGTTTTGTAAAACACTCTTTGATTGGCTAATGCACTGATGTTTGAAACAGTAAAACGAGCATTAACGAGCTTAAAAGCTTTTTCATTGTGATGTCATAATAGAGCGAAGACGTATTTCATGTAACAAAATTCAACAAAATAAGACAAACAACAAACAAAATGCATGCATCCGTTAAATGAGCATTAACGGTCGCAAATACCAAACTAGAAGATAGTTATTCCCAATGTGTATGGAATTCACTTACCATTAAGTGATATATCAACAAGGCTTTCAAAAATGTCCTTTTGAATGTATGAGGAGCTTGACATCCTTTTCTAGCTAACATTTTAACACACGACCTAAAATGTGTTTTTCTAAATAAGTATACAGGCATCATATAAAAGTTATCATGACAAGTTATTATAATTATGCATATGAATTGCATGGGTGAGGATATCAACAAAGGATTAAAAATGTTTCAACTTCGGCAAATTATATCGAAATATATTTTAATGAAATATCAAATGAATCAATTTTGACATTTATTGCATGTAGGTCTTTATCTTCAGAGATTTTTTTCTTCTTTTCTAGTATTAGTTTAAATTGAATTGACACGTTTTACAAGTCTTACCAAAAGTATTCATCGATACAATAAAATCCATTCATCTGATCCTGAGAAAATGACTTTCCATTTTGCAATGGCCAAGTGTAACAAACAATTCCATTGTGTTGTTTCTATTTTAAACTCTCGTAATACAATCGATTTTTTGGTGGCTAAGTTATCAAGGCCGTGCATGAAATATTGATTATACTGGCTATTTATAGTCTTTCCAAATTATTTTTAGAATTATTGTTTTAGCTCAAAAACTTTACGTTTTAGAATCTTTCTTTTTAAATCAATGAAGGTAACTACTGAATTTCTATAGCGCGCGAAAAATTCATTGTATAGAATAACCGTCTTTGTTTGGACACTTTCGCGGCTTAAAATGAAATGCATGCGTTAAGAAGTAATATATCATTTCCTTGTAGATCGAAAGAATTATTGCAACCTCATTCAAATACACTTAGTTATATGTTTAAAAATCCTTTCCTATATTTTCAGTTTACTTGCAAGCATATTTCAATAGAATTGTTAAAATTTCATATATTCATGAGCAATAAAAGATGGATGTTTCATTCCAACAGAAATGAAAGCGATGTTGTTGTTTTTTTAATTACATATATAAATAAAATTAAGAAGGAAAATAACTTAAACAGGCATAGATTTAATTTTAAAGACTAAAGCTTTCTTGTGGTAGGCTGTATATATAATATCAGTTAACTTACATCCTATTATATATTTTTGTCTCTTCACCTTTTCAATTTTTAGTGTTATAATGTTTGAAATGGAAATTTGAGTGCAGTTCATTTTTTTTTCTTTTTGAAAAATTAATATTTTTACCTAAAGGTATCTTTAAATAGTTTTCTTCAGTTTAGTCTTAAGGAAGTAAAAGACTTTCTAGAAAATTAATTACATATCAAGTTCTTATATAATGTACTTACCTAATTTCTTGAATTTTTCACCAAATATATCTTGTGAAATTGTAACATGTATTCCTATATAAATTCTAATAATCACTAATAGAGCAGAACAATCCTAATAAAACAAAATATGCAGAAAAATTGTACCTTACAAAGTTAATAACTCTGATAGAAAGTCGTTCAACCAATGTTATTCGCTGTAAGCATTGAAACTGAAAATCACTGCACTTAAAAAGCACAAGCAATCATTTCATAAGGCCGATGAACAATTCAAAAGAAAGTTTGATTGAAAAAACTCAATGAACTTCTAAAATGCTTTGATATTTATTTTCTAAATTAAAAAATGCATTCCCTTTTGACAAATTGCTATATGCTCCGTTGACAGACGACATTTAAGTAATATTGATGCACATTCAATTTAGTAAGATTAAAATTCTTAATTCAAAACAGCAAAAAGAAATCATTTTGATGCAGGCAAAAGCGAAAGTGTAGAATTCTTGCTGTAGATTTTTTTTATCCTAGATTCCATTTTTTTTCCTAAAGCCAACGAAAAATGAAGAGATACTGATTAAATTTCCAAGACATCTAAACTCAAGTAAATTTCTTCAATCTGTCTTTGGAGTCAATTTTATCCAGAGGGAAATTTGAAGGGAAAAAAATCTTCAACATACTCAAGCAAATATCAGCATGCATCTTCTGCTATCTAGTATGCCATGGATTTTCGATAAACATTGAAAAATGCATACACAGAAATACTGGACTAGAAAACTCGGAAATCGAATTCCTATAAAAAAAATAAAAAAAAAAATAACTCGCAGTTAATACACAAGGGAATATAATGCTTAATTATTTACTGCTGTATCCCTCCAAATCGTCTTTTGTGGGGTGAAAACTTCCCACTGGTGCAAAATAAGGAGCGGTCAACAATATGTCTATCTATATGTAAAGTTTTCAGCTGGAGACAATATTTACCGATGGACGACAATATGTGCAGAGAAGCTAGGTTTAAGTGTCTCAATCCTTTACCCTGTATGATCAAAGATAATTAAATACCTGTTTTAATATAATGACTTTTCTTTCGGGATAACGCAGTGTCAAACTTGACATGCATTTTGAGGTTTTGAAAAAGAATCAGTTACACAATATTCCTGTGATTAAGGCTTGTATTCAAATTAATATCTAAAAACATGTTTTGTAAGCGTACTTTAAACAATTTATATTTGAAATTAGATAAAGTGGTTTCATTGTACAGTTTAGGGTTTAATGACATGCAGCATTCAATGCAGATGCGAGACAAAACATGTAATTCTCTTATCAAATACGAGAAAAACTGACAATTAAGCGTGATCCCATATGAATTTCTTTAGTATTTGATTACATCCTGTTTCAAAGGACATAATCATACCGCCTTGTATTTAATTTTTTCCTCAACTCTTTTCCAGGTACACGTCATGTGAAAACAGCTTAATTGAGCGGAAACTCCAGAATCTTCAAATTCTCAAATTTTGCTAAAAATTTGTAATTCATTTTTAATTTATGTTACTTTAAATTAATTTTTTAAAACTAGTTTCTATTAAAAATTTCTTTTTTCATATCTGATGGGTATTTACCCCCCCCCCCCCCGCAAAAAAAACAAAAAACACCAACGTAAATTTTGTCTAATATATATATGTATATATTATGTACTTTTGCTATAAGGGTCAATTAATATATAATACGAAGTTTGGTATTTGAAGTGCGCTTTGAAAATTGAAACTTCAGTATTTAAACACATTTGTTAAACCATTTTTTAAATTCATTTTTCTTCCGTATACGAAACAAGTTTCTTAATGATTTTTTTTTTCAGATATCAAGCAAATGTTTCCTATCAATAATGAATTTGTAGATATAACTTCAACAGAATAAATGGATGTGAAAGAAGAATGTTGTATAAATATAATTTAAATACTATTAATGTACCAGCTAGTAAATAATCCAACATTTTTTTAACATTTAAAAAGCATGAGTAGATCTACTTCTTGTCAAAAAAAATTCATTCTCTCAATCGAAATCATTGAAAAGTTAAGTTTTTCATTTATTGGACAAGATGTTTTATAGTTCCTTCTACATCTGGTCAAACGTTGTAAGATATACCTATATCACATAATATCGACATTGTAAATTATAAGACATAGCATTGCTGCTGATATTTGATGCTTTAACTTGTATCACTACATTGAACATATGCATATTATATGAATATACTATTTATCTTTCAAAGATTAATGGACAATTTAAGTTTGGGTACCAATTTAAAAGTCTAGTTAAATGGTTTTTTTATCCACAATATTTTACAAAAACTTATTTTTCAAATTAAATACTCTAAAATCAATTTTCATTCGGTTAATTTTTCCTTTGAGTGGTATAAACTTTGTTATGGCAAAAATAATTTTATTTTCAATCAAGACAACACTACACCTCTTGAACCAGATTAATCCAACCCCCAAGAACCACAAACCATAAAAATTATACTCCTCAAATTTTGATTCGAACATTTTTGATGAGAAACTTATTTAGAATGCATGTAATCGGACATTGATTATTAACATGTGATTTGCTAGTTCAATACAAGGTGAAAAGGATGGGTAGCATAGCATTTTAATTTCTTATTCGTCTATCCATATGTTCATCTCTCTCTCTCAATCAATCAATCAATGTCTGTACATTCCCACTTACTTTTCCGACGTTTTTACAAGTGATAGCGTATTTGTTATGTGATGATAATAGATACATGTAAGATACAGATCGAGCTTGTATATATTGAATATATTTCGTTGAATATCAATGGCCTTTGACATCTTTTTGAAAGAAAAGGATTGTTCATACAATGCTCTCAGAATACGTTACTAAACAAGCATAAATATATCCATGACCTTAAAATACAAGTACAGTTTTTATATGATGAAACAAGACATCAAAAACTCAGTAAAGGTGAAAAAACAGGAAAGTTTAAAATTATTAAGAGTTATTGAGAGCTTAATTTTACAGTATGAATTCAGTTTGTTTAACAGGAATAAGGAAGGAAAATAACGTTTTGCAACGATTAATCATCTTAAAATTACATTTGTATTTATTTGAAATGGAAGAATGCCTTTTACTTTAGGGCTGTTTATTTTTTCATTCTCGAAGGCGTCGTTAGAAGAAAAAAGGAAATGTGACGGGTATGTCTAGCATTGTGAAATTGTCAATATCACAGGTGGTTCATAACGTTTACATCTCCACATGTAATTTTTTAAGATTGTAAATTTAATTATCTTTTTTTTTTACCTCACCAGTAAAAATTATTGATGAACTATGTGTTTTAATCATCGTAAAATTCCTTTTCATGCATGTAATAATGATATTTATTTATGTTTTAATTTTTCTCTTTCATTTTTATCCCATGTTTGTACAATGTATCCCTTTATACCGTTGATACATACCCGTAGCTCATGTGATATCGTTTTCGTATTCCACAGTTGTGACGTAGCAATGTGTTTTGCGTTGGCGCAATGAAGTAAAAAAGTGGAATCCTATATAAACAGTGTAAAACATTGATTGTGGTGTATAAAACAAAAAGTAAAACATAGGATAAAGAGAACATCACATGATTTGTAGTTGGATATGATTTTTTTCCAACTC